AATATACAAATATGTTTTTATTTGTATTTGTTTTAATCGCAACACATTATTTGTTTTTTTCGCAACACATTTGCTATATCGTGTATCAATTTAATTATTTATTTAATACATATATATATATATATATATATATATATATAATTATTTATATATGTATAATAAATTCAATAGAATCGTCTGAAATTTATAGTTGCATTGTTATTTAGTCTTTCGTAATCTTAAAGTCCGATCAGTCGATAGAAAATTGTTTTGCTGACTGATTTTTTTGCGTTGCTGGATAAATAAAAAATAAAATTGAATAATAAAATAATATAAAGTTATAAAATAATAAATATAACAATTAATTATAAATAGATATTTGTGAAAATAATTATTTATACACTGTTGTGTAATGTTCAAATTTAATTTTTTAAATGCTACTTGTTAATATAATATAAAAACATTTGTTAATAGTGTGAAGTCTAATTTTAAAGACTGTGTATTTCAATAATAATATTCAAAAATTATTTTGTTAATAAGTGTAGTTAAAAAAACAAACCATTTTAATATTTTCATAACGAAAATCTCTAATTAACTAAATACAAAATTGTTAATATTAACAATTAATTGACTATTATATGTTTTGTATGAACTATATAATTCCAATATTAATTGGGAAATTAAAATTCTTTAGTTTTTTCTTCGCTAGCTCGCGTTGTGTTGTACTGCTAGAAGTGGACTTGTCTATCTCCTTTATTTTTAAATGGATTTTTTTTAATACTATTATAATATACAGCTAAATAATTAAATAGTGCTTGTAATTTTGACCAGACGCTTTAATATTATTTATTAAACTTTCTATTAAATTCGTTTTATAAAAGAGAGTTAAGAAAAACTGTTGCGTAGTCTGAAAAAATGAAAATGGATGGAAGTCCTATGTTTTATAGGAAATCGCATATCGTGTACTATATCATACCCAGTAAGTAGTATTTGTATTTGCTAATAAATAGAAAATTAATTTTCAATAACTGTAAAAGAATTTTTGTGTTAGGATTTTTTTTAATTTCATCATAAGCGAGCGTGTCAATGCTGGCAAGATTACTCTCAAGTGTTTGTTATGTAATATATATTTTTTTGATTTTATAAGATGCTTTTTGTTTCCAATTTAATATAAGATGAAAAAATATGTTATAAATATATGCAGTAAGATAAGAGGCTTATCTTATTCTTTTTTTATTTAAAAAAAAATTAATCAGTGAAATAAGGGAGAGCAACTTTATGCGATCTTGGTCTTACAATTGAGCAATAACAAATACAATAAATAATAAATGGTAACCTGCCTGAAGGCAGGTCCATGGTGTGAGAGTTACCACAAAAATGATTTCCTTACCCTTCGACGTCTATCATCCCCATTACCAGTTATCACTATTCTCCCGCCCTTTTACACTTGTTTTCATGTATTCTCTTTTCCAAACTTCTGCTTCCATGCTCCTTTTTTTATTGCTGATTTGTAGACTTAGTATACACGTATATTAGTCATATACATTTTATAAATTATCTTTACAATTTTATTTTATTTGATTTGTCAATGTTATAAAATTGGTTGGGAGGGAGATTTTTTGTCATACTATACCCTTCCATAGTTCTTTCCCACCCTTTTCCCATTTTTTGCACTCCATAATGGCGTGCTCAGCATCCGCCTCAGTCACTCCACCCAAGCAATAGCAATTAGGATCGGTTTTGATCCCAATTCTACACAAGTGAAACGGAGTGTATGTATGGTTAAATCTTAGACTGCAAAACGATTGACATTCCATGTTTCTTGATTCTGCGCTTCGGCTTTCAGTTTCTTGTATTTTTTCTTCTCGCGTAAGTCGTAAATTATTTGCATTCTTCTCCTTGCCATTGCTTCCAGTCCTTCTGTTTTTTCTTCAACGACGTCGTGCAGGAGGCACTCTTTTTGCAGAACGGGTTCGATCCAGTTTCCTTTTCTTTTCAGGATTATGCTTAGTAGAGTTATTTTTTGGTCCACTCTTCAACAAATGAAGAAATATGTTATCTGGTCTGCCCACTTTATCTACTCTATTTGTCTCCAGCACCGCATTTTATAACTCTCCTTGTAGGTTCTTGTCGGCATTTCTTAAAGTCCATGTCTCTGATCCGTACAGAGCTATGCTCCAGGCATAACACTTTATTAATCTCCTCCGCAAATCAAGACTCAGTTTACTCGTCATAAATTTATTATGTTCTCTGTAAAAATTATGTTGCAGTACTCCTTTAGTTTAATAGTATCAGCGTAAGTGTTTTTTTAAACTATTAATTTAAATTTATAAAATTGAACTTCATTTTTTTAAGTCCTATAATAAATAAGAAATTAAGATTTTACTTTTATCAAAATGTGTTACCCGATAAAAAAAACAAGTTTTCTAAAAAAAATTGCTAAAAAAATTTGTCAACTTCTTAATATTTCTTTATGGTGACCCCAGCAAATCAGAAGCTAATTAATCGACATTAAATTTCTATTATTATTGCTAAGAGCTTTTCTTCTACTAGTGTATTAAAAATAGTTGAAAATTGTAAGTTCATGTTGTGAATTAAGGAATGTGTTGCCAGATGGTATAATACTCTAGTCAACAAGAAAAAAATTAAAACAGTGATAGTCTACAACAAAAAATTAAAAACTAGCTGTAAGTGGAATTCTGTTTTAAGGCAATTAGGGCATCGTGCCTTAAGGCAAATTGCTGGAACTTCCCGTACCAAAAATTATTATTTTTTTAAAAACGATTATCATTTTTGAAAAAATTTTACTTTGCAAAAATAAGATTTTTGAGAAACTATAAATTGGACAAAGAATTACTTTTGCTTGAAAAAAAATTTTTTTTAAAAAAAAAAAATTCTGAAAAAAATTTTTAAAAAAAATTTTTTTTTTTTTTGAAAAAAAAAATGTTTTCTTTATTTTGACATATTTTGGAAGATCTGAACTTTTTTTCAAAGCAATCGTACTGTCGCAACTGCATAGAAACAAAATATAAAGCCCGTAAGCGCCGCGTCGCTGTCTAACGGATAAACATTGGTACGGAACCCATAGGAATGTAAACAAAATTCATACTTATTGTTAAAATCTCTATAAAATATCTGATAATTTGATGTGCATATGTCTAATGATCATTTTTGACTGCAAAATGGCATTTTTTTTTACTTTTTTCGTTAGATCTCCGAAACCGCTAGACCTGCCTTCATGAAAATTTGATCAATTCCTCACCTTGTCAATACAAGTAAAATGTTTTTTGAATTATTAAAATCGGACGCTCCGTACTCTTAAAAACTGAGTTACCGTTTTCGGCACTTTTTGCCCCGTATCTTCGGAACGGCTAGACCTGCCTTTGCCAAAAACTAATCAGCACGTCTCCTTATCAATACGAATCGATTTTTTTTTAAATTATTCAAATCGGTTGATCCGTGTTCCCGAAATCGTCGACGAAAATTTGTATCCGCACATACATACACACATACATACATACATACACACACACACACACACACACACACACACATACATCCATTTTTTCTAAGGTATGCCAAAATGTTCAGAAACCTCTGAAACGTAAAGATATATAAAAATTTTCATTTTCGATTTTTTTGCGATTACTATAACTTACCCTACGGGAAGTTAATAAATTATTAAAACCCAGAATTGTCGGTAAAACCCGAAAAAAAAATTTGACGAATACACGGAATCACGAAGATTTCCTAAAACGATAATTTAAAAAACAATTATATGTATTCGTAATATAAATATTTTTTTTAACAAAATAATTAAATTATAAGTTCGTGACCATACAATTTTTAATGAAGACACAAAATATTTTAATATTAAAATCGGTTTTAATGCGTCACGGTTATTGTCATTAATATGAGGAAAACCCGCAAATAATAAATAAATAAAACAATTGTGGTATTGCCCGATGCGAATTCGGTAAACTTAATTTTATTAATATATTTTATTTCATTTTTATTTTTGAGGCCGTATTGATGTATGGTTAAGAACGTGGGCTAGCACAAACTACTACCGGGTTCGAACTCAACCTTAGCCAGCTCGATATCGAGCAGTATGATATGAATTTTCCACTTGAGGTTAAAGATATCAAATTTAATTTCGAATGAAAATCACATTTTGTGGGCATTGCTGGAACATATATACGCCAATACTACTGTATACATACATATCTTTTATTAATAGTCTGCACATATGAAGGAAGAATGGTTGACCGTTGGGTTGCCTTTTCGAGAAAAATATTGTATTAAAATGTACGCTAGTTAATACAGCTCTTAGAACACATAGTTCTGATCGCTGTTATTAATATTGTAATATTATGAATTTTTTTCTGTTATTATTATTAAATATAATATTTTATGATAAATGGATTCCACAATGTGCGTCACGTTTTCGAATTCGATATTATTATTATTTGTTTTATACGAATTCAGTTTTGTAATAATTAATTGTTGAAAGCGAAATGATGCATTAGAGATGATGTGCTGACGTGAAATCGTTAATTGTGCATTATTGAAAAATAAAAAATGAGACTGTATTGCGTCAACGGTAAACAATGGTCAATGTTTGTTAGGTAGATAGTAATAATATCATTATCTTTATATAATATTATCTTTTTTTCAAGTTTAACAAAATCCTTCTAACAATATTTAATTCATTCACGTAGTTTCATCAAGATAAATATTTTTATGGGGTAATATTTTTCTTAAATCAGCTTTTGCTTTGACCTAACTTCAAATAGATCTGTTTTGAACAGTTCAAAGTGGAAACCACTGCTTTAAACTGTTTTTTGTGATATAAAAAAAAAGAAGTTTGCAATCAAATGGATGAAGTTTGTTTTTTATTTATATATCTATCTATCTATTTGTATATTGTATATCTATTTGTTAATTTATTTTACTAAATATATTTTTATAAACATTTTTACCCTCTCATTTATCATTTTTTTCTCCTTTCCAGCCACCGCGGCGCTGACATCTCACGGCGGTCCCTCAAACTCTTCCTCTCACAACGGCACAACCAGTGCTGCCAACAGCACTACAGCGTCTTCCGCCGTTAACAACGGCGCCCACAGTCCCTCTGCAACGGGCGTTGTCACCACCAGCGGTCACCACAAGGACAGCAGTCCCAACGGCAAACACAGCAATGGACACGGCGCTGTGGTCGCTGGTTTGAGTCTGAATCCGGCAGCCGGTGCCGGAAGTGTTGGTAATACAGGGAGTGGCGCACACGGATTGGTTGTTTCGCAGAGACCAGTTGGAGCCATGGCGCCCGGGACGCCGAGTGCCAAAACTAAGGTAATATAATAATATAGATAATTAGATAAGCCCAATTTTACTCAGCGAAGTTTTAAAATGGAATAGTTCACAAAAATCGAGATGGGGAGTGGTAAAATATCATGTGTATTTATTTTTCACCTGAATTTAAAGATAATTTTCTACGTTTTAAGAGTTATGGACCGATTCTGCCGCATAACAGACAAATGTTATGATAAGGCCATGTTATGAAGAACTAGTCATACTAATTCGTTCTAAATATTGACAAAAGCCATGTTGTTGTTGTGCAGTCAGGAGTTTTTCTCAGGTTGTCAGATAGAAAAACTAACATAGAAACCGCACAAATGTCAAAAAAAAAACATCTTAGATAACAGGGTTGTTTTGACTCAGCTTCATAAGATACGAGTGACGTTGCAGTTTATGTGTAAAACGCGTGAATGCATCGCAAATACATGTCATTTTGACAGTATTCAGTATGATTGAGTAGCATAATGTATGGAAGTTGGTGCGTAACATGGCCTTGCCATAACATCAGTGGTGTTGTCGAGCCGGAACGCGCCGGAACGTCGTTTCGGCAAATCATTTTTGAGCCGGAACGCGTTCCGGCAAAAATTTTTTTTAAAAAAATCGCTACTACTAGAAAATGATTTAATAAGCGAATTTTATAAATTATAATTCAACTAATTTTTATTAAATGTTCCTATTATTGTAATAAACATGCAAATATGTGCTCAAAATGGGTTTTGTAATGATTTTTGTTTCTTTCCTTTTTGAACGGAACCGGAACAAACATGAGAACCGGTTTTTAAACCGGTTTATGAACCGGTTTTTAAATTTCAGCGTTCCGGCAAACAATATTAAATTTTAGCGTTCCGGCAAAAAAAATATTAGCACAACACCACTGCATAACATTGGTCTGTTGTGCGGCAGAATCGGCTCATTATTGTAGAAACTAAAAATACACGTGATGTTTGAAGGTGTAATTAAAAATATCACCAAGAGCGTGAGGAGGTTAAAAATGCTTCGAAAAAGTTTACGATAATAATGGATGAAGTCTTGCCACTTAATACCACAGTTTTTGACTTATTATGTTAAGTGAACATTGATATCACTGCTGCATGATCATGCCGTTCGGATTAAGGCAACGCTTGTACACTAGTATTTTTTTGCTACTTTTTCTATTAACAATACAAATAATTCAATAATTAGGAAAAATACAAGATTATTAAAACTTATGTTATTTTTCTCTTGCAGGACAAGATTATGCTTCGTGCCAAAGTGGTTGTGGCTTTGTATCCATTCAAAGCTATTGAAGGAGGAGATTTGTCATTAGAAAAGGTGATTAATTAAATTCATAATGTAAATAATAAAGACAATATATCAAACTTATTTACGTCAAAAACATTTTATCTGTTACAAGCTTTACTTTTCACTCACACCATTTTATCACACGGATTATTACTTTACCTTAGACTTACTGAAATAAAATTACACGTCAATATATTAAATAATAAATGGTAGTCTGCCCGAAGGCAGGTCCAAGGTGTGAGAGCCACTACAAATAAATGATTTCTTTACCCCCTTTACTCTTCGTCTATCATTCCCATTACCACTATTCCCCCTACCCCTTTTTTCATGTATTTTTCCTTCCAAACTTGTGCTTCCATGCTTCTTGATTCTGTGTTTGGCTTTTAGTTCCCTGTATTTTCTCTTCTCACGTAAGTCGTCAATCGTCTGCATTCCTCTTCTTCTTCTTCTGATATAGTACATATATAATAACAACAACAATTATTTGCCTTACGCGAGGATCTTTATATTTCAAGTTCAATGTTTACACCTCGAAGCTCGGGAAAGTAAGAACGAACATTTCTTTATTTACAAAACATATCAGTTGAAACAAACATGGCGTCCACCTGAAGTTAGTTACTTTTAAGCATAGACTAACTAATTTTTAGATACGCTCTGGATTAAATCTAATTGAATAAAATCTAGATTGAATCTAATCAGATTGATACGCCAGAATCTCTATATTTCAAGTTCAATGTTTTCACCTCGAAGCTCGGGAAAGTAAGAACGGACATTTCTTTATTCACAAAACATATCAGTTGGAACAAACATGGCGTCCACCTGAAGTTAGTTACGTTTAAGCATAGACTAACTAATTTTTAGATACGCTCTGGCACGAATATTCAATCTAATTCAGACTCCTCTACACATCTAATTCAGGCTCCAATATACTATTATTATTAATTAAATCAATCAAATTTCAGTTATTTCAAAAAAGTTGTGTTATTATCAATATTTATTTTCAAATTTCAGGGGGCAGAGTATGAAGTAGTAGATGACTCGCAAGAACATTGGTGGAAAGTTAAAGATAATGCTGGGTAAGTTTACAAATTAATATATTATTTTATTTTTTTATATTTGAAGTTAATTAATATTATTTGATTGTTGCAGTAACATTGGATACATCCCGAGCAACTATGTTAAAGAAAAGGAGCTGCTCGGTTTACAAAAATATGAGTAAGTAGAGGATGTACTTATGAAACTAATATTTTAATTAGTAACTACACAATATTAGTTTTTTATAATTTGTATTTGTCTACCAGGTGGTATGTTGGAGACATGTCCAGGCAACGAGCAGAATCGTTACTCAAACAAGAAGACAAAGAAGGTTGTTTTGTTGTAAGAAACTCTTCGACTAAAGGCCTCTATACACTCTCGCTTTATACCAAAGTGTAAGCAAAAATTAAACAAACTCACCAATTAACAATAAATTAATTATCCATTATACTGTTTCTTTTACAGTCCACACCCCCACGTCAAACATTATCACATCAAACAGCAGCAGCCAAACAAATCGGGCAGTGGAGGAGGTGCAGGAGGTGAATTATATTATCTCTCTGAAAAACATTGTTGTGCAAGCATCCCAGAATTGGTGAATTATCATCGGCACAACAGTGGAGGACTGGCGAGCCGACTTAAGGCGTCGCCTTGCGATAGACCAGCACCACCTACTGCTGGTCTCAGTCATGGTAAGGGAGAAGAATAATAATGATAGGAATAGTAATAGCAATAATATTAATGTGCTGGTAAAATTTATTTTAGATAAATGGGAAATTGATCCAGCAGAGCTGATGTTGCTTGAAGAATTAGGTTCTGGTCAATTTGGCGTTGTCCGTAAAGGTAAATGGCGCGGATCTATCGATACCGCTGTTAAAATGATGAAAGAAGGAACAATGTCTGAAGATGACTTCATTGAAGAAGCCAAAGTCATGACGTGAGTATAACAGATTTGTTATAATTATTTACGTTTTCTGTTTCATGCATCTTAAAATTCTTGTTTCCTTTTAGTAAATTGCAACATCAGAACCTAGTGCAACTGTACGGAGTGTGCACAAAGCACCGTCCAATTTATATTGTGACAGAATACATGCGTCATGGTTCCTTGCTCAACCATTTGAGACGTCACGAACTTGCTCTGGCTGGAAACAGTGCCATGTTGCTTGATATGTGCATACAGGTAAATAGAAATAAATATTTTAAAATATTAAATTTTTCCACTCGGATGGCGCGCCTCTCCGGCGGCAAAATTCATATAAATCTCTGAATTTGCGAGTGGAAAGGGTTAAAATATTGCATTCATATAGTAACTGATTTTATCATAAATCTTTTACCCCAGATTTGCAAAGGTATGTCCTACCTAGAACGGCACAATTATATCCATCGCGACTTGGCTGCTCGTAACTGTCTCGTTGGTTCTGAAAATACAGTAAAAGTAGCAGATTTTGGTTTAGCTCGTTACGTTTTGGATGACCAGTATACGTCATCAGGTGGTACCAAGTTCCCTATAAAATGGGCGCCTCCTGAAGTTCTTAATTACACCAGGTTTAGCTCCAAGAGTGATGTGTGGGCTTATGGTAAGAGGATTAGTGTCATACTTGATATGTATAAATGAGATTTTTTGTTATTAAATGTGTATTTTTATTTTTTAGGAGTCTTGATGTGGGAAGTCTTTACTTGTGGAAAGATGCCTTATGGTCGTTTGAAGAATACCGAAGTCGTAGAACGTGTACAACGTGGAATTGTTCTTGAGAGACCTAAAGGCTGTGCGAAAGAAGTTTATGAAGTAGGTTTATTGATATTTTATCTCTTAATAACTTGTCGACGGACAAATTTGTTTTCGCTATAAAATTCGAATTATCATATTTGTGTATTTTTGATGTTTTGATTCATTCTAAATCATTTGATTAGTTTTGCGCTACGATCGGCTGAGCCATTTTTATATAATTAGCAGATACGAAATTTTTCGTAAACGTTTTTACTAAAAACATACTGAACCAATTTTGAAAATTCTGGCAATCGTGCTGATTAGGTTTTGCAAAACTCGGCCAGCCCGCTCCTGTTCAAACAACTTAAATATTGAGCTAGGTGTTCCTCAAGGTTCAATTCTTGTCCACTACTATTTCTTATAATTGTACTGTTCTTTGTTAATATCATAATGCAACTGTAGAAGGAAACGTATATGTGTAACTAAACTAATGGTGCATGGCAACGTGCCTTAAGGCAAATTGCTGGATCTTCCCGTACCGAAAACTTAATTATTAAAAAAAAACTTTGAAAAACAAAAATTAGATCTTTGAGATTTTTTTTAAATTTTTGAAATTAATTGTCATTTACGAAAAAGTAGATTTTTTCATATTTTGATTTTTTTTTTTGAAAATTTTGAACATTTTTTTAAGCAATCGCGCTGCATAGCTGATTTGGAGTGGAAATATAAAAGCGTAAGCGCCGCGTAGTCCTCGAACGTGTAAACATTGGTACGGAACCCATATAAATCTTTATTATTATAATCTTTATTAAATATCTTATTGTACGATGTACTTATGTCTAATGTTTATTTTTGACCGCCAAATGGCAATATTTTCTACCTGCCTTTACAAAAATTTTACTAGTTGTTCATTTTGTCAATACAAGTAAAATGTTTTTTTAAAGTATTTAAATCGGACGCTCCGTTATCTCAAACTTAAATACCATTTTGGGCGCTTTTTTCCCGCTAAAAAACTAATTACCACGTCTCCTTATCAGTAGAAATAAAATGTTTTTTGAATTGTTCAAATCGGTTGATCCGTGTTCGAGAAATCGTCGACGAACATTTGTATCCGCACTCACACACACACTTACATCCATTTTTTTAAGGTATGCCAACATGTTTAAAAACCTTTGAAACGTAAAGATATATAAAAAAATTCATTTTCGATTTTTTTGCAATTACTATATTACCCTACGGGAAGTTAATAAGAATTGAAGAATTCAACGTTTTGGGAACTTGAAAGATTCTAAATTTTGAGACGGGATCTCTTTTTGGTGACCAATGCATTTTTGCTGACTGGTGATGAATATACGACGTGTCGGCCCTAGGCGCATGTTCGTTTTCTGTTTAATAATTTATAACATTTGAATAATTTGCCAAATATAATTAGAATGTTTGCCAAATTTGTACAAAATTCAATAATCTGCAATAGTTTTTACCATTGTAAGACTGGAACTACAGCAATTCGACATACTTGCAAGATATTGAGTCAATTATTTACAAAATCTTCTCCAGTTAATATCACGATTTTATATTTTTATTATCCATTCATGAGTCTTTTATCCCCAGATAATGCGCGCCTGCTGGTCCCACAGCCCAGACGATCGTCCATCATTCAGATCGTTGAAAGAACAATTACATTCTGTCTCTCAAAACCTCATGCAAGATTGACTGATTGACAGCTCCAACTTCAACATTCCGTCTCAACAGTACACATTGCAAGATCTATCTTTGCTGTCAAAAAAATTAAAACGACTTTTAGAATCTCAGAAGCATCAGCAACTCCAAAGCAACTCTATTCGACAGCAGCAATCTGTAAAAACGTCTCGGAGAAGTTTTGCTCAACAAGATCTGTCGGCGAATTGGAATAAAAAAGTGTCAAATTTATTAGCGATATGCCAGAACTTAGATGGAATGATTACTTACGATGTGAGGAGTCCGAAAATTAGTCAAATGGCACATGTGGAAAGAAGCGAGGTAAAGGATGGTAATAGTAGTAAGTTTAATAGGTTTGGTACGATTTTAAGGAAAAGTTTTACTTTGGGGCATAACAAAAAGAAATGTAAACACGATAGTTCAAGCGACGCAAAAAGTCAAACTTTAAACAGTAAAAAGAGTTCTAAACACAAATCTAAACCAAAAGTCATTCCAGACGTGACCGACGAAATTAATACAGACTTACAAGAATACAGCGTTCCAGATTTCCAATCCATTCAATCCGGTTCTAGCAAAAACAGTCTGTGTGAAAATTCTTTCCACCCAAAACACAATTTCAAACACCAACGTTCAGATGAATCTTATTCTTTAACTTGTCTGCAACCTCCTCAGGTTAGTAGAACCCCCACAAATTTATCAAACACTAATCGAGCTTTATCCAAAAGCACGGACACCAAATTCTGTCCAAACGAATTATTGGTCTCGGAAGAAGTGGTGGATTATTTAAACGAAGTGATCAAATCGAAACATAAGAATAAGCATTCGAAAATGGCGAAAAGCTCGGAGCACATTGATTGTATTCTGTGTGATATTATAGGATTAAGGGGCGCTTCGTGCAAGGGCGGTTTAAATGAGGGTAAGCTGCAATAATTGATAAAGGATATTTGATATGTGTGAGCCCGCTGGGATAAATAATAGGTTTAAGGTTAGATTTAGAAATGGGATGTGTGTTTTTATTTTGGGACGAGGGGAAAGTGTTAAAGGGCACTTGCAAAATACTTGATACTTATTAGCACAATGTTTATACAGTGAATGTAGTTTTTAATATATAAATTGGGCTTGCAACGAATAGTATAGCATGCCGAATACCGAATATTCGGCATGCTCCAGAGACCAAATATCGAATATTCGGCAACTTTAGCGCCTAAACTCGTTCGTAATGAAGCAATTACTATTTGCAGTTGTTATGTTACTAACGTACTATATGTATATTCAATTTTCATGTCTAGTTTTGCAACTACTATTCGGTTACTCTTTCTTATTTGGAAGATTCGGCACCATTTATACTATTAGGCCGAATACCGCATATTTAAATAACAAATATGCTAGTGAAAAAAAAAACAAAAAGCAATTCTTTACATATATATACACCTAAGCCTGTTTTTACACGGTCTTTTTGTACACGGTTTTGATATAACACAGTTTGAAAATTGAATATTTTTAAATTTTTTACACAAATTTCTTCCATTTAGCACGATTTGAAATTTTATGTACCTAAATTTTTTTTGTCAAATTAAATTTTTGCGAAGTATGTTCATATCACAAAAAAGTATTTATGAAAGAAAAAAGTCTGAAACCATCGATAGTATCGATAGTTTGCAAACACTAGCTTAAAGATTTAAGTGAATTCCCCTTTAGCGCGTACAAACAATTTTTACTGGTCAAAGCAAATGTGAATAGCACTAATTTAATTCTTGTTCTTAAAAATTCTTGTTTTTCACCAATTTTAATAGGTTTTAGAGATTAGGAACAAATCACCCATTTTTGTATAAGATCAATGTCTTTTTTTACACGTTTTTTTTTTACACGGATTCTTCTGGAACCAATCTCCGTGTAAAAACAGACTTAGGTGTATATATATATATATATATATATATATACAAATGTATTTCTAATTTTTTTTATTACATTAACGCAATATTGTTTCTCATATGTCATGTTATTATAACTGACCAGAAATATTATTCGTATTTTTTGCTATAAAGAGCCTATGATATTTCTTTATTTAGAAATGCTTAGATTGAATGGAATGAAGGACTTTATTGAATATAGATACAACGCATGCGTGTAATCGTTAAAAGATTCTTAACAAATAACATAAGCATATAACAATAATGTGTCCTTTGAATATTGAGGAAAGAGTTCTTCACGTGTTCGTTTATAATCTCAAAAGTTGATAAACTTTAAATTATTATATATACAAAATACAATAACGCAATCATTAGTAGTGAAAACTGGAAAAATTTATTCATATCATATATATTATAAACTAAAGACTTCAAAATATACAGATCCATCACAAGTTCTTTATCGCATAAAATATAGAACACACACACAATATTTTCGCTGAGCGGAGACGGCTTCTTTGATTTTAAATATTCGGTATTCGGCCGAATAGTAAGTTACTATTTAGTATTCGGTCGTATATCAAAAAAGGTGCCGAATACCGAATAGTAACCGAATATTCGGTGCAACCCTAATATAAATGTAAACAACATCAATAATGATACAGAAACAGGATGCTGCAATCATAGATTTCTGAAACGTTATTTAAATTAAATATTCAAAAATACATTAATGGGGCAATTCTGCTTTATAACATATCGTTGTCATGGCAACGCTGTCTTATGCTTTTTTATTGGTAGTGAAAACTGAAAATGTCTTACTATTTGCTATGCGATCAGGAGTATTTTACATATAAACAAGCAAGAAAGAATGTTATGATAACAGAATTTTCGATGATGCAGTTATCATAAGATTCTTCCTTGCATGTTTCTAAGTAAAATACGCCTGACCGCAAAGCAAATAGATAAACATTTTTACTGTTTTCACTACTAAGAAATAAGCACTACATAGCGTTGCCATGACATCGCTATGTTATGAAGCAGAATTGTCCTATAAATACTTAACTTAAGGCTCTGTAAAATATTGTGCTTAAGTCCCTAATATTTATATATATTATTTGAACCTTCCCGATAATCATATTTATAAACAAACCCTTCTCTTTATTCATAATAACAACCGCATAAAAGTATTTATTCGATTACATCCCTTAAAATTTAATAGTGCGTGGACGCGCAAAATAAGTGAAACTTTGTCATATGGCAATGAAAATAGAAAGAGGCAGAAATTGATCTCTAATGTACTCATGAAATATTCGTGAAACAAACTTTATTAACATTTCACAATCGTTAATAAATTTTGATGGCAATCTTTAAACCTTTCCACTCGGATGCCGCCGCAAATTACATGAAAATATCGCAATTTGCGAGTGGAAAGGATAAATTATTATTTTCAAGTGGACATTTATCTAAATCTATAGCATTTGCAATTGGATGGATTATGATAATTAACGTAAAATACAATTTATTTGAGTTGTATTCTGATAATATAGTTTGTACCATGATGCAGTTGCAAAATCTTGTTTATAATTTTCAATCTAAATTTGTTTGTAAAGAAAGTGAATGACAATAAAGGTTTGCACTAAATAATTTAATGGGGCAATTCTGCTAAAACAGAGCTCTAAACATAGCGTTGTTATGGCAACACTATCTTATGCTTGTTTCTTGGTATTGCAAGCTGTGAAAATATCTATTTATTTGCTGTGCGATCAGGCATATTTCACATATAAACAAGCAAGAAAGAATGTTATGATAATAGCATGTTTCAAGAAATGTTATCATAATATTCATCCTTGATTGTTTATATGTTTATATGTAAACTACGCCTAAGAACACAGCAAATAAATAGACTTTCTCATACTTTTCACTACCAAGAAACAAGCTTGAGATAGCGTTGCCATTACATCTCCCTCACAAAACATTACGTGTATTTTTAGTTATGAGAAAAAAATGTAAATTTTAGATTTGTTTTTTTTGAAAATGTTAAAAATTCAGGTAAATTGTAAATACACGTGGTAACTTACTATAACCTCCCACCCCCCACGTGATACTTCGTGATTTTTTGTCGAACTCCCTAAAAACTCCACGTGGTTAATGGACGCCCCCTAATAAATGCGTATTAAGATAATTTCACAGCCTTATGATCTACTGCCTCTTTTCCTCTTCTATTGCCTACCTTTGAGTATCTCTGTTTCTCTACTTACTGTCTCTTTCTATTTCCTTTTCTATAACGCAACCAGGTCGGATGTCGCATTAGAAGTTTCACTTAAAAAATCGAATTTTATTTTTACACAACTCTCTCCCCTTTCTTATATTGAAAATTTATATTAAATATAATACTAATATGTTTTGATAAATTTTTACATATTTAAATAAATAAATATATGTGTGACATATATATCGGTGTATACACTTGGATGTGTATTTTCTAATACACTTAATATTAACATAGCATTTATTACTCGAACGATTAAAAAAATTGTGAAAGTTTGAGTAATGGATGATTGAATTTAATAAAAGTGATAGATAGTATATTATATTAATAGAGTATTATGATAAAATCATTTATGCATTCTCATATATAAATAGTGGATAAGACTTTGGAATTGTTTTGACTCAATGAGGTAACATATTACTCGATGTCGATAACAATTCTGATCAATCGCACAAACCATTTTTAATATTTAGATAATGATAAAAGTGTAACTTCCATGTTGTCGTGTTCCCACGATTAGATTTATAAAATAGGATATTTATTAATTATTGATAAACACAGTTGTTTATGTTTAACATTGTGTTTATTTATAACATTCCTCGAATAGGATTGTAGAAAATGTGCATGACTCGAAGTGGGTGTGATCTGAGACACAATTGTGTTGCTTGAGAATTTACATGGAGAACCTCATTCCTATAATAGACAAAACAGAATTCTTAAAATATTATAGGCCTATGAAACGTGGTTTAATTATAAAAATTATATATATCTTGACAATTTATAACTATTTATATATCAGTTTAGGTATTTTACACATTTTGATGATATGAAAATAAATTAAAGAGGCGTCCATTAATTACTTGATCAATTTTTAAAGGATTTTTTAACCCTCCTCTCTCTTGGTAATACGTGGTGATATTCAAAATTAGCCCCTCAACCCCACAAAGCATCACGTGTATTTTGAGTTATGAGAAAAAGTTGTAAAACTTTTGATTTTTTTTAATGTATGGATTTTGTTAAAATATGTAGGTAAAAAATAAATACACGTGATAACTTACTATACCCCACCCTCCCCCACGTGATATTTCGTGATTTTTTATCAAGCCCCCCCCCCCCTTTTCCCTCTAACAACCTCAAGTGACTAATGAACGCCTCTTAAAATAAAATTTCTTAAAAGCGGAGGTAGGTCGCTTTAACCACTTGACCATCCTCACATATGGACATCCGCCGCGCAATTTAATTAAAACATTCATTTTTTACAATTAAACCTCTTCTCATAGGCCTATAATATTTTAAGAGTATAATTTCCATCACAAACTTTATCTTTATGCCAAGTTCATCAAAACGTTAGAAGAGTAAGTTTGAGGTGCTCCTTGTAAGTTTAAATCTAAATTTTCAATCGGACCATGCAGATTTTTTATTTTTTTATAGGGACCACTTTAAATAATCTTTATTGGATTTTATGTGTTTGTGTAAAAATGGATTGAAATAATTTTAAATTCATTTCTGTCATTGGTGTCGAGACTACTTTGTTTTCAACTGTTCTATTCTATTTAAAAACAGTTTTATTATTATTTTATTTATGTTTATAATTAGGTTCTTGCATAAATGGAAGGATAATTATGTTTATTGTGAAAAAGAGAGATAGATTGATGGAGAGCGAACTAGAGAAAGAGATAGAAAGAGAGGAAGGTAGAGTGAGAGATGGTGATAGAGAAAAGAGGACCGATAGATTTGTAGAGAGGGAGATAGAGTGAGAGGGCTTAATAGAGAAAAGACTACCGATAGATTTAGAAAGAGGGATAGCAAGATAGTGTCAGAAGGTTTAGATAGGTAAGCAGGTAGAGAAAAGTAAGAGAGAGTTAAATAGACCGAGTGAGGGGGGATAAGAGA